TTCGTACTGGTCATCTTAGTTCGTACTGGTCCTCTTAGTCCCTAGTGGTCATCTTAGTCCCTACTGGTCCTCTTAGTCCGTACTGATCCTCTTAGTCCGTACTGGTCATCTTATTCCATACTGGTTCTCTTATTCCGTACTGGTTACCTTAGTTCGTACTGGTCATCTTAGTTTGTACTGGTCCTCTTAGTCCGTACTGATCCTCTTAGTCCGTACTGGTCATCTTATTCCATACTGGTTCTCTTATTCCGTACTGGTTACCTTAGTTCGTACTGGTCATCTTAGTCCGTACTAGTCCTCTTAGTCCCTACTGATCCTCTTAGTCCGTACTGATCCTCTTAGTCGGTACTGGTCATCTTATTCCATACTGGTTCTCTTATTCCATACTGGTCCTCTTAGTCCGTACTGGTCCTCTTAGTCCGTACTGGTCCTCTTAGTCCGTACTGGTCCTCTTAATCCATACTGGTCCTCTTAGTCTGTACTGGTCCTCGTCATCCGTACTGGTCATCTTATTCTGTACTGGTCATCTTAGTCCGTACTGGTCATCTTATTCTGTATTGGTCCTCTTAGTCCGTACTGGTCATCTTATTCTGTATTGGTCCTCTTAGTCCGTACTGGTCATCTTAGCCTATAAAATAAGCCTTGAATAAAATTATATTTTTGTACCACAGTAGGCATTCCGACCCCCAGTTAACTGTCTTTGATTTGATCTTCTTTAGATCATTTCACCCTCTGTATTAGTATTCATCTTCAGCCTATACTGGTCATCTTCAGCCTATACTGGTCATCTTAGCCTATACTGGTCATCTTCAGCCTATACTGGTCATCTTAGCCTATACTGGTCCTCTTAGCCTATACTGGTCATCTTAGCCTATACTGGTCATCTTAGCCTATACTGGTCATCTTAGTTTATACTGGTCATCTTAGCCTATACTGGTCATCTTAGTTTATACTGGTCATCTTAGCCTATACTGGTCATCTTAGCCTATACTGGTCATCTTAGCTTATACTGGTCATCTTAGCCTATACTGGTCATCTTAGCCTATACTGGTCATCTTTGGAAATTCAGAAAAACAAAAATTCTGATTCGTCCAAATTCGGTTGCATCCAAATTTCCAAATGAAACAAAACTTGCATGTCTAAATACAATGTAACTGTAAGCAAACCCAGTTGGTCCCCCCCCCCGCCCCCCCAATCCTCTCCCTCTGAAATAAGATCGGGGTACAAAAAAATACCTCGTGAACCCCACAGCCTCACACCGGATTATCGGCGAAGGAGTTAACGTCTCGGCGGCACAGACGCCATTGCTGGAAGATGAGCATCCTGTGCCGAGACACATTGTACTACGCCGTCCTAGAACCGCACGAGTCTCTATTTATAGACTTTCAGATTCTGTGACGAGGCGAGCCGACATTAGAAGAAGCCATTTCAGTCAAGGAGAGGAGCCGGTACAAGACTGAAGGGAAGGCCAGAGGCCAGATGTAAGACTGAAGGGAAGGACGGAGGTCAGATATAAGCCTGAAGGGGAGGACGGAGGTCAGATAGAAGACTGAAGGGGAGGACGGAGGTCAGATAGAAGACTGAAGGGAAGGATGGAGGTCAGATAGAAGACTGAAGGGGAGGACGGAGGTCAGATAGAAGACTGAAGGGAAGGATGGAGGTCAGATAGAAGACTGAAGGGGAGGGCGGAGGTCAGATAGAAGACTGAAGGGAAGGATGGAGGTCAGATAGAAGACTGAAGGGGAGGCCGGAGCTTAGTTTTAAAGCCCAGCTCAGTTTAATTCAATTAAATGCATTCCAGGTGCCACGAAACAAAAGGTGCTCAATGTCTTACAGTTGGTTTTGCTGAGACTTGTAGTCCTGTCACTTCTTAAACACCACAGGCCGCCTTGTGATACATTCAGTCAGTCTTTAACAATCCGGCCGACGTCGCTGATCCCCTCTGATTGGCTAGGTGATTGGAAGTGGGTCAATGGCAGGCTGTGATATATAACGTAGCGGCGGTGATGTCACGCTGTAATTATTATAACACCGTAGCAGACGTGTTCTAGGACAATCAGCCATAATCGCTTTCCTCTGACCGTGCGACTGTCAGGATGACTCAGCCGGCTCTTCTTCTTTATTTTAGGAGAAACAAACCGAGCCCGGCTTCAGGACTGTCATTTTATTATTTATTTTTTTAAGCGCGATCGCTCCATGCGTAGACGCACACCGAAATTACCTGCGTCATCCACAATCACTTGATGTCAGGAGGGTGTAACACACGGGA